GCAACTTCAATGTCCTCTTGTAATACCATCATTTCTTGAGCTTATGCTACCTCCTAGGATGGTTGAACTTCAGGTTCCTTGGTTTTTACGTTTGGTAATTCTGTGTAATCCTTTCATCTTCTTTTGTGGCTTCCCACATCATTCAATATTTTGCCCATAGGAGGCTTCAAGAGTACAACTCCAGCCCTGAATTTTTCATTCAGTTTTCTCCGCTTGAGAAATGCTGACTGTATTCTTCCCTGTTGGTTCTTTAACTCCCGGTCTTTGCACATTATGATACTTTACTGTTTTTTCAAGCTTCCCTGTGAAATCTTCTGCTCAGCTCTTCTGCTTCTTCCTGTCTTTTCCCCCTTTTAGCTACTTGACACTCCAGAGCAAATGTTAAAGCCTCTTCTGACCTCCATTTTGGTCTTTTCTTTTTCCCTACCTTTTTAATGACCTTTTGGGTTTCTTCTTGACATTATCCCACAACTTTTCTGATTTCAGTCCTTAATGTTCAGGTGTCTCAAGGGCACACATTGGCTCTCGTGAACTCTATATATGGACTTGGTTGGGTGGATTGCCCAAGAATCACATTCATTACATCTGTGGAAAAAGACAACAGAGAAGTTCACTACGATCATTCAGAAACCATCAATTATTCAAGTGCAGGTTTCCTTGCTTTCCTTAGTAGATTGCCCAATTTTTATGATGGGTGTTGACACAATAAAATGATTTATTACAAAAATAGCTCATTTTTCTGTCAGCAGGCAAGTAGCTGGTTTGGCAGGAAAGGAACCTGATCCAAGCACAAAGATATGGATTCCAGTCTGGCTGTGTGAGTTATTAGTTCAGCCATTTCAGGAAGTAGCCTCTGACCAAGAACCAGTAGTATTCGGGCATGTTCGTTTCTTCCAGAAAACAAATGCTAGCGGCCCTGGTTTGTCCCAGCTGAGTGGGAAGAGGTGCTTGCTGATGTGTACAAAGTGATTGAATAGAAGAACATGGGTGAGGTAGAAGATATATAAAGATGAAGGTAAATAAATAATACTTTTTTAAAACCACATTTTACCAAATATATGAAGCCATCCACATTCTCTATAAAGTTTTTTCCCGTTAAAAAAAGAGGGAGACTTTTTAGAATTATTCCTTTCAAATTCATAATTAAATGTTTCTTTTTAATCACGGATAACATTGATCATGTCAAAGCATACTTTTAAAAAAATAATAATGAGCCAAGTGCATTAAAGAACAAGTCCAAGTTGCACAGAAAGGCCTATGAGGGCCCTGGGGCCGCCATCCGGTGGGGCAGGTGCAGCCTGGGCCAGGCGAGGGATGGCTGGTGGCCCGTTGCCAATGGTGCTGGGGAAGGGGGCCGGGAGACCCGTTTCCAGGGCTCCGGGCGTGGTCTGGTGCGCTCCCGAGATTCCAACCCTGTGGGTCGCACCCTAGACCGGCCCAGGCCCCGCCAAGTCCGCACCCGTCTCCCACCTCGCGCTGTGTCAGCAGCCTTGGGGTGCCTCGGAGCTTTCGGGCATCATTTCCAATTTCCCGGTCTCCAGACTGAGAGCAGAGCCTTCAGGGCTTCGTTTCCCAGCTGGGAAAAAAATAATCACAACCGCAACGACCCTTTTTAAAAACCACGTGCCAAAAATTTTTTTTAAAAACCAAAACAACCACGTGCCACACACGGTGTCAAGCGTCTAACGGACTTTGTCCCAATGGCCTCACAACTCCATTTTGCAGATGAGCACGTGTCCGCATCTCCGGTGGGCGCGTGTTTTGTGGCGCAGGCCAGGTGTGTAGGACCTGGTGGAACCCAGCAGGCAAGAGGGCAGGAGCCTGAGCTGCGGAAGGGGCATGGTGGCGAGAGTGGGGGTGGGGGGCCGGTGAGGGGGGATTGATGAAAAACAAGGCTTTAGGAATTGATGGGATACCAACTGAGTTATTTCAAAAAAACAAATGCAATCCAGAAGTGCTCGCTCCTCTACGCCAAGGAATTTGGTAGACGCTGCCTGGTCACCCAGCTGGAAGCGAGCCATAGTCAATGGCCAGCCCAAAGAAAGGCGATCCAACAAATGTGGAACACCATTAATATCACATGCAGGTAAAGTCTTGCTGAAGATAATTCAAAATAGATTTCAACAGTACATTGACAAGGAATTGCCAGCAATCCAAACCGTGTTCAGAAAAGAATGTGTGAAGAGAGACAGCATTGTGGATGTCAGATGGATCTTAACAGAAAGCAGAAACTACCAGAAAAATGTTTACATGTATTTTATTAACGATGCAGTCAAGTGAATCTGTGAATTACAACAAAATGATGGGCAAGATAACAAAGAGTGGGAATTCCAGAACAGTTCCTTGTGCTTATGTCAAGATGGAGTGGTTTGAACAGAACAAGCAATGGCTTAAGACCAGGAAAGGTCTTACTATTGAATGGTATGATGTCTGCATGATCTCCTAATAAAATGATTTGGGGAAAGGTGTGTGTCAGGGTTGTAGTCTTTCCTCATATTCAATCTGTGTGCTGAGCAAATAATCCGAGAAACTGGACTATTGAAGATGTGATATCAGGATTGAGGAAGTCATTAATATTCTGTGATGTGTAGATACAACTTGGATTGCTGAAACTGATGAGGACTGGAAGCACTTTCTGATGAAAAGTACGCCCTTGAATATGGGTTGCACCTCAACATAAAGAATGCAAAAATCCTCACAACTGGATCATTCAGTGTCATGTTAAGTGTAAAGTTGTAAAAAGCTTAAAAGACTGAGGTTAATAAGGATTTAATTTTACTTGAATTTACATTCAAAAGATATGGAAACAACAGTAAAAAAAACAACAACAAATGACGTGCTGTATTGGGTAAGTCTGCTGTAAAAGACCCCTTAAGGGTTAAAAAGTTAAGCTACCATGTTGAGGATTGAGGTGCACCTGACCAATGCCATGGTATGTTCAATCCCCTCATAGACATGCCAAAGCAGGTCATTGAATAAGAAAGATCGGAGAATTGATGCGTTTACATTTTGGTATCGGTAAACAATATCTACTCTATTGTGGACTGCCAACAGAATGAACTGAGTTAGAGTAGCATGACCTAAAAAAAGAAGAAGAAGAAGAGCCTATGGAAAGTTATGAGGTGTAAGAGCCCACAACAAAATGATTTCTTTTTTAAGTAGTATAGCCTTAGCGTGCTTTCAGGAGGGTGCAGTCCTTGGAGAAAAAGAGAAAGACCTCACTGAGATGGGCTGACACAATGGTTGCAACAATGGGCTCAGACATAGCAATGATTATGAGGATGGCACCGGGCCAGGCAATGTTCTGTGCGGGACAAAGGGTCTCTATGAGTTGGAACTGGCAGGATGGCACCTAACAACAATTTCTCTGGCTGCTAGTCAGTGCCTTAAACTCTGAACCATAGTAGGATCCTATTTGGATTTTTAAAAAGGGGGGTGGGGTGGGGGTGGGGATAATATTATTACCTTTTTTTTTTGTATTTGCAGATGCTAAAAGAATAGGCAGAGCTATATGAAAGTTTCAAAATGTTTTCTAATGTCTGCCCTTATATTGTTTGAAATCTGACTGCACTTGTGCTCTCAAATAGATCAACATAGGAAAACTACTAACTTAAATAGGAAAACTCCTTTGGAAAAAAAAGTGAGTCAATTTTTGTTGGTTAAAAAACTCAACCTAACACGTCCTCATTGGAAAACACACATTCAGCAAGTCATCTTTCCCCTAAGCTTTTCCATGTTCCTAATGTTACTGTCCTTAAGTGGACTTGAGTCGACCCTATATCCCGAGAAGAAAACACTTCCCAGTCTTGTGGCAGCCTCAAAATCATTACTTAGCAGTACACTTGTACAATGCAGTGCTTCATTTGATTTGGGGAGTGTTGCTTCAATGGGTGGTGGTTGCTGATCCAAGTAAAATGAAATCCTTGAAAATGTCAATCTTTTATGCATTTATCGTGCTGTTTCTTGGTCTATTTGTGAGGGTTTTGTTTTGTTTTTTTGGCTCTTTATGTTGGCGTGTAAGCCATACTGAAGGCTGTAGTCTTTGATCTTCATCATCAAGTGCTTTAAAACCTCTTCACTTCCACACATCAAGACTGTGTCATCACATATTGGTTGTAAATGAATCTTTATTTAGTTCTGATGTCACATTCTTCATAATCCAGTTTTTCAGATTATTTGCTCAGCAATCAATTCCCGAGTAATTATCTTATTCTTATGTTTTCTTGTGTTCCTACGCCTGGTTCCTCTGCTTGCAGTCAGAAATGTTCCATTCGAAGGAAGAAAGATACACTACGCATAGCATTTTAAAATAGTCATTCATTACAAATAGAAATCCCAGCTTTTAGGACTATTATTGCTAGCCACAACAAAATAGTTCCAACCACAAGCCATGCTCCAGGCGACGTTCAAGGTGCGCAGCGCCACCTCCTGGGAACGTGGCAAAGCCAGCCAAGTGTCCTCGGCACAGGACTACCTGTGGGGCGCTCCTCGCGCCCGGCGTGACTCAGAAAACCTCGGGGGTTCTGAACACAAACCACCCGGAAAATGCTGACGCGGTTCCGTCTCGAATTTCTGTCAGCCGAGGAGATGCAGAAAACCCTAATTTAGGCAAGAGATGTTACTGGAACGGCATTACCTCTGTGGGTGGAATTTCAATTAGAGTGGTGCTAACGCAGCACCACGGAAGCAGCTTCTCAGCCTTGGCCGGACTGGGGGCGGGGCTTGGCCCGGGGGCGGGGCTTTAGTGTCTGGGCTGTGGTGGGCGGGACTACGTTCTTCATTGGGTGTTGCTTCGGTCGATGTACGAAACATGCTCTACGGATAGGACCGCGCTACGGAAGGGGGCTGGAGTCGGAGGGCGGGACTACGACTAGTGGGTGTGGCCCTACTCATGGTACGCACTTAACTCAGCGCGCGGTTTAATCCGTGCTGGGGGTGGGGCTAAATGTAATGGGCGGGACTCCCAATGCGCAGACTCCTGACTAGATCCCTCCCTCCTCTGCTTTCCGCCGGAAGTTCCTGGGTCCTGCGCCAGGCGTCGCACGGGTTTCGAGCTGTTGGACGTGCTGTCAATAAGCTTGGGTGAGAGATTAATAAGCTGCTTTCCTGTGGGTGGGCACCCTCGGGGACTTGGTGCAGACTTCCATGGCTCTCGTGCTGCCGTGGGCTGCCGTAGCGCTCACCTCGGGCAGCCGTATTCGAAGCCTGCTGGCCAGGCCCGAATTTCCAGTACCAAGTGGGGTTTCAGCCCTTGGGCCGGCTCACGTTTTTTGTGTTATGTAATTTTTTGTGATCGGAATTTCCACGTGATTATCAAAGAATGCCCCCACCCTCCCAAGTACGGCGTTACGTTCTCCGCGAACCTTCCTCATGTCCCCACCTCTTGTGGACCTTCCCTCCGTTGGGAAGGTCGCGTGTGTATGCCTGTATGTGACAGCACCTGTCGCATGTGTATGTCTGTCTGTATGTGTCAGCACCTGTCGCATGTGTATGTCTGTATGTTTTTCAGCGCTTTCTCACCCCAGCTAGGCGAAGAGCCCCTTGCAGGTGGGCAAATTCAAGTGTGCGCACACCTGGCTTTTGTAATTAACAATTCCGTGATGTTAGATGCACGACTGCGTATTGTTGCTTTTGGAAGAGTTTTAGATTATTTTAACTTGCGGGAGGGTGTGGTTTAGTGAGTTTTCTAATTTATCCATGTTAACCGCAGGTTTTCTGCAGTTTTCTTTCTTGGAAAATAGAGGAGTACTCTTGGGGTGCAAGAATTGTATTCTCTGTTTCATAGATACCTGAGGTGGGTTATAGACGGAACTTGAAGGGGGGTGTACATTTAAGTGAGACAATGATGGTACAGGTGTTCTCAAGAAAGCAAGCATGGGTGGCTAGTACACTGGGTAGAAGGAAGTATCGGCAGATACTTTTGGCAGATGTAGAATGGATTTAAGGTCCCCGTCAAGTGCTAAGCCTAGGCATCTTTCTCTTGATGCTGGGGAGAGTCATGGAAGGTCCCTAACATCTGGAAGATTTATCACATGACTGTAGGGTAGACTTCAAGTGCAGATGTCTTGGGCCTGGTTGGTAAACGTTTGGTGTATAGTGGGCTTTATGGTTCATATTGTAGATGAGAGTGGTCTTGCACCATTTGAAATGGAATGGATGGGACTGTTTGTTATCGTCAAACACAGGTTGCTGGCCAGATCTGACCCAAAGGTAGTTTGCCAGCCTGAAGTCTAAGCCAAAGGAGCCCCAGTGGTTAAGTGCCCAGCTGCTAACTGGAAGTCTGGCCATTCAAATCCAACAGCCTCTTGGTGGCAGTTGCTTCCATAAACGTTTCCAGCTCTGAAAACTCTGTTCTGTCTTACAGGGTTACTATGAGTCAAAATCCATTCAAAGACAATGTTTTCCTTTTTTCGTGGGTCTTGTCAAATGGGCAGAGCAATAACAGTCTTGAGCTAAGCGCCACTGCATCCTCTTTTGTTTAAGTGCTTTTCTTGTACACGTGCTGAGGCAGTGTCACATATTGGTTGTCTGAGCCACGACCTAATAGCAAGTCAGCAGTTGGAAACATGAGCTGCTCCTCTAGAGAAAGATGAGGCTTTCTACTGCAGTAAGCAGTTCCAGGCTTAGAAACGCACAGGAGCAGGTCTGGTCTGCCTTATTGGGTCACTATGCGTCAGAATCAGCTTCATGGCAGTGAGTTGTTTTTGAAGCACTGGGTCTAGTCTTGAATCCTGGCATCTCCTGGTGACTACTAAGTATGAATTTGAGCAGATTAGTTAACTTCTCTTTGCATCTATTTTTTTTAATCTGTAAAATGAGGTAATATTTCCACCGAGCGTTGTCAGAAGGCATGAATGAGTTCAGAGCACATTGAATGCTAGGATAGTGACTTGAAATCATTCTCACTTGCATTATTAGAGACAGATTTGAGTGCTGTCCCTAAGGAAGAATCTACAGGTTTGCTGCGTTAGGTGGGGGATTAAGGTGTTAGGCTTTACAGTTAGGAGCAATTCATGTAGAGGTGATCTGGAAGCCCTGAGAGTCATGTAAGGAACAGAGGAAGGTAGCAGTTGGAGGATTAAGGCCTATTATAAGTAGAAACACAATTAGGAGAGAAAATGGGGAAAGTGGACAGGAATAAAAGATTTGGAAGGAGACTGAGAAGCCAGTCTATAAAGTAAGTAGAATGACATGCTCTCATAGTTGTGATGTGCCGTCCAGTCAATTACAACTCACAGTGACCCCACAGGACAGAGTCGAACTGCCTCACAGGGTTTCCTAGGTGGGAATCTTAACGAGAGCAGATCACCAGGTCTTTGCTCTTGTGAGTTCAAACTACTGGCCTTTCAGTCAGCACGTAACCGTAACCGTTGTGCCACCACAGCCCCACTGGAGCTCGTTCTGCCTTTGTTCACGCTGTGTCTTCCGACTGACATTGATACCCTCCTTCCACGTTCCAAAGGAGCGCTGGTGGCGTAGTGCAGCTCGAATCTGCGAGGTTGATTTGGCGACGGAAAGAAAGAAGGCAAAGGTAGAAAACAGTTTTAAAGGTTTATTTCAGAGCTCTTGGGCAAGGTTCATGGGCCCTAATTCAGGACTTGAGAAGTGGCCGCCCGGGAGGGAGGGGAGAACAGGACAGGATGAGAGCCTCCTGAGCTCACGGCGAGGTTCATAGGTCCCCCCAGTTGAGGGCCCACGAAGTCAGGCCTTCCGGACGAGAGGTGGAGAGTTTTATAGCTCAGGTCTGGGGGCAGTAGCTGAAGAATTTTTCATTGCAACTTTGCTGTCTGCAGATCCGCAGCTGAGCAACCGCATTCAATGTTATCTGAAATGGCCAGCTCCTTGCATCTGAGCTTGAAGGCCACCGATGGGGAGGAGGGAGGCCTGGTCTCTCACAGCGTCCTTGAAATGTCTCCACCAGGTCCGAGGATGTTTTCACTTGGCTGCCTGTCAGCTCCCGCTCCCGCCTGGTAGAAGCCACCTGCCACTCCAGGGAAGAAAGACTGGGCTTTCTCCCTAAAGAGTTGCGGTCTCAGAAACCCACACAGGAGCGCTTCTGCGCTGTCCTGTAGGGTCAATACGAGTCACCATTGACTCCGTGGCAGTGAGTTTTGCTTTGGTTCACGTCCCAGCCCTTGGTCATTCTTGCACCCTAAAAGTACTACTCTTTTTCAAGAAAGACTGAGATTGTAGAAAATACACGATTTATGTGGACAAATTAGAAGACATGAATGAGATGCCTCCAAGTTAAAATAATGTAAAATGATTACGAAGTAGTGTGTAAACTTACAGTTTAGATAGCGTTGATTAACGTCAGATGCTGCAGAGAGGTGAGAGGCTGTGCTGGTAATATTAAATGAACCAGCCAGCAAACGTTAAGTGGGTGGCCAGGTGCTAGAGTCCTCCATTAGGGTTTATTTATTGGGTATTCAAGTTACAACAAACTGAACTGAAGAGCCTTTTCTTGTTCTGATTACTAATATGTGTGACATACAGTGCTTTACAGTAACTTGCTGATGTTATTCTCTGCCATAAGATCGGATTTATAGAGACTGTAATAAAAGGCAAGTGTCTATGTGTGCGTGCACGTGTGCTGCTTGTTAAATGAAGTACACTTATTAGGAAGTTGTGAGAAAAGAACCCTATCATAAATTGAAGGCTACAGGTACAGTCTGCACACTAGAAAATCTGGCAGGGGCAAAGAATCTGGAAATACTCATGAGTAAGCTGGAAATTCTTACATATGGTTGGCACCTTTAATTTGGGAACTGCAAATGACTTACCGTTGATAAGCGTAGACAGCTGAATTGAACCCCCTTTTTTTTCTTTCCTAGGCAATGGCCAAGAACAAACTAAGAGGGCACAAGGCCAGGAATGTCTTTCACATAGCGAGCCAAAGAAACTTCAAGTCTAAAACCAAAGCAAAGCCAGTTAGTA